GTTTAGGGAAGGTGAAAGAAATGGCAATTGGGTTGGGTCTTGAAGATGTGTGACTTTTGACAGGCAGAAAGAATATATCTCATAAAGAAAGAAAGAGCAACCAAATGAGAGAATTTGCTCCATGTCAGTCAATGATAATGGCAACAAAGATTAGGTGACTGTGTACTTCAAAATGGGAAATTTTCCAAAATGGCCTGGGAGTAATGGTGGTGGCAGTGAGAGGGCTGAGATGTTCCTCTCTCCCTGACTCTGGCTCTTTCTACTCCATATAGCAAGTGGAGAAGGAGAAAGTGAAAACAAAGAACTGATGTCTCGAGAGAAAACCAAGGCAAGTCGAGGAAGGAAAGGGGCATTTGAGAAACCTATCTGTGGGATCATCGAAGAGCTGGTCCACGACGAAAAAAGGGTTCCAAAATGTAGAGTATAAGCAACTAGTGGAGGTGCTAGAAATGGTGAGTGAGTTGTAGAGAGACATCTCTGAGAGTAACTTCAATAAGGGTGTTTTGTCAGTGTCAGCTTGCATTAGATTCAGGTGTATGAAACAGAAAAATTAAAAACAAAATCATGACTTAAGCAAGATAGATATTCCTCTTTCTATCCAGGGCTGACAATGGTGGTTTCATAGCATTAGGGCATCATGTTCCAGATGGCTTCTGGAACACCAGGCACTAAATCAGCATTGCAAGCCATTAAAAAGGCAGGAAGAACAAAGAGCTGTGCACTACTTCTCTTTAAGAAGATTTCATGGACGTCCCCACAATACTTCCTTGTATGTCTCGTTGACCAAAACTTAGACACATAATCATACCTAGCTGCAAGAGAGGCTAGGAGATAGAGTCTTTTAGATGAGTGCCTGTGCATCCCAGTAAAATGAGCATCTGTTACTAAGGAAAATAAAGAGTATAGATGAATATGGATGTTGGGACAGACAACAAACAGCCTCTGTGAAAGGTAGTAAAGGAGAGAGCCAGGGGGAGAGGTTTTCATGTAGGACAGTGCGTCTCATAAATCCTGGATTCCTTCTCCTGCTCCTCCTGGCCCCTCATTTCTTCTGTCATCCAAAAGCCTCTTTCTGGGGGGACCCAATTAGCCCTACTTTCTCTCCAGAAGAACTTCAGTCCTGGAATTGGACTATGGCTCAGTCAGTGACATTGGTGTCAGGTTCCTATTCACTGTTACTCTGCAGAACCCCAAACCCTGGCAAAACCATCTCCAACATCATCTCCTCATACCTTCTCCCACTACCGGTTATGCCCTACACTACCAGGGATTTTCTCCTTTAGAACTGGGTTTGGATTCAAAAGGCAAACTCTCTTCATGCCAAAAAGCCTCTGCACATTGGCTGCAATCATACATTCTGGATAGAAATAATTTAGTATCCAATAAGCATCCCTGTGTGTTCATGGGGCTCACATATTTTTAAAAATACAGAAAATGTTGAGCACCTTCTCATCATTTCAATAATGAAGAGCTGTAAGATTCATCACACTTTTTTCATTGGTAAGAGGTAGAACATTGGAGAAAAATCTAAAGCCCAGCATAAGTAAAGGAAAGACTTATGGCTTAGTATAGGTAAGCCTAAGTTAGTTTGTATTATCCCACAAAGATAGCTTTAATTTTCAACCAAAAAAACATCTTTCCTTGAAAACCCAGGAACATGTTTTAGATTAGGAAAAACAGACCATTGATATTCTTCCATCCCGGCCATGAAGGAAAAGGAATAGTCCGTGTTCCTTAGAGCAACAATGTCGCTGTAAGGCCAGGAGTCAACCACATACCCAAGCAGTTACCAGTTCCTTGGGGAGGGAGTCAAAATTAGCAATCTGTGATTATGGCATTTGTGTAACCTAATGTGGACAGGTGGTATGTGAAGTACTAACTGATGTGTTTCACATCCTGGCCTGCTCAGACTGCACTTCAAAGAACTTGTTCACTTGTACCCCTTTTCGATCCTCTCTCCAAAACTAAACAAACACCCTCTGAATTAGGAAAGAGGAGGAATAGGATTATTAGAATGTAAGCAGGAGAATTAGACCCTGGTGAGATCTTTGAAATGGGGCAGAAGGGAGGGAAAACAATAGATTCCCAGATAGGTTTAGTAATTCAAGGGCAGAGGGACTTTTGATCAAAACCAGGAAAGTGAATATCATGTCCCCTTTCTCTCAATACCTTTCAAGGTATAATATAGAATGCTGATAGGACAGATCTAAAAGACGGTCTGAAACCACTCACATGTGGGGTGTGTGTGTATGTATGTGTGGTGTGTGTGTGCATGTGTTTGTGTCTTCATGGGGAACAGGGAGGAACATCTTCAAAGGATGAGGAAGGGCCAGGTGACCCAAAAACCCTTAGGATGAGGAAGACACAGGATATAAGGTGATATGGTTTGGCTTTGTCATCTTGAATTATAATCCCACAATCCCCTTGTGTTGTGACAGGGAGCTGGTGGGAGGTGACTGAATCATGGGATGTTTTCCCCCATGCTGTTCTTGTGATAGTGAATGAGTTCTCATAAGATCTGATGGTTTTATAAGCGTCTGGCATTTCCCCTGCTGGCACTCATTCTCTCTCCTGCCGCGCCTTGTGAAGAAGTGCTGTCTGCCATGATTGTAAGTTTCCTGAGGCCTCCCCAGCCATGCAGAACTGTGAGTCAATTAAACTTCTTTCCAGTTTTGGGTATTTCCATATAGCAATGTGAGAACAGACTAATATTAATACATGTGGCCTACTGACCAGGACAATGACACCTCAGCATACTCTAGCTGGGAGAGATGCCCATGACCATGGACCAGAAGCTTCCCCTGGTGCCAGGATCCAAACTGGGACCTCAAAATCTTAGGCGGACTCTGGAGAGGCCTTAAAGAGGTTGAGGGAATCATGAACTGTGAGGGAATCATGAACTGATTCATTTTTAACGTGAAAGTCATGGTGCTTTCTCAGAAATAACTAAGATTATGTTTTCTGCCATTTGGTGAAAATGGGGCTTAACAAAAACGCTGAGTAATAGAAATATGTATTTTCTCTTTTTGCACACCTAACTTGATGCTTGCTGCCTTAGTCACCCATTTGAGGTGTGGTGTTAGGTATTTCTTTGGAATCTGCAAGGTGCTCTGAGAGTGGACTGAGGGGAGGCACAAAACATCACTAGAAGCTCTGACCAAGTTTTTTTCACTACAATCACTTTTTTTAGGCACAGCTGTCACTAAGAGAAGGCCTACTTTGAAAAGCAGATGGCAGGAGTTTTGAATACAAGAAAGGAGTTCCCGGGGCAGATGGCAGCAGACAAGGCATGAAGAAATGAAGGTCTCAACAGAGAGGCAAGAGGCGTCTTTGTAAGAACAAAGGTTTGAGAGGAGAGAGACATGAGCAAAGTCCTGGCTTCAGAGAGTCAGTAGCTAGGAATCTGGTAGAGAGTCCCTCCTTCTGGGATGAGCCCTTCCTCCACAAAGTATCTGTCCAGCCACACTCCTCAGTCAGACAGTACTGTGAAGGTTCCCATGAGCATTTCGTAAAGCCTGTGGGGCTCCCCCAAAGCACTCTTCCCTATCCATCTGGCAAACATTACTGTCAAATGCATCAAAAACTTATCATATAACACTTCCAGTTTTTTCATCATAAGCCCTTCCAAACTGCCCGCTGCTATTGTTAATGACTCAAGATTCTGACGTCTCCGTCATGCAACAAACTCCAGCTCTCTTTTTTTCTTCTTACCTTACTTAGTAAATTCAGTATATTTTCATGCAAATATTAGAACCTATGCCTTCTACTTTTTCTGCAAAATGCTCTTGGCTCTTGCAACTACAGCTGTGTAACTCCATAGTGGATGAAACCATCACAATCTAGAAAATAAGTTTTCTGTCTTTTGGACAAGATTTCATTTGATTTCAGAATCATCTCCTGACTATCCAGTGGGCTTGCCTGCAAAGAAGTATGATTCTCAAGGATACATTTGTTCCGTTACAACTTTTTGTATGATACTTGGGCTGAGTTCATAGTTCCTCCTACAGAAAGATGTCCATCATGGTAGAGCACTGAATCAGTGAACTTGAAAGGTAGGAAAGACTTCTAAAGGCCATTTATGACAGCTTCCTAGTTTACAGAAGCAGAAATGAAGGTGCAGAGATATGAAGGCCTTTCCAAAGGCCACTCCTCCAGTGAAGTGCTGAACCAGGTTTAGAAGCTTGGTGGCCTAGAACCCTGTTTAGTGTTCTTTTATGCCATGCTATTTTTAATCTTCTTGCTTGACTAGTGTGGAAGTCATTTGTGATGTTCGCCAATACAGGCATACCTTGTGTTATTGCTCTTCACTTCACCGTGCTTCACAAATATTGCATTTTTAACGAATAGAAAGTTTGTAGCAATCCTGCATCAAGCAAGTCTATTGGCGCCATTTTTCCAACAGCATGTGCTCCCTTGTGTCCACATCAGCATTTTTTAGCAATGAAGTATTTTTAATTAAGTTATGCACCTTGTTTTCTTAGACATAATACTATTGCACACTTAGTAGACCACAATATAGTGTAAACATAAGTTTTCTATGTGCCGAGAAAGCAAGACGTTTGTGTGTCTTGCCTCATTGTGATATTTGCTTCATTTTGGTGGTCAGAAACCGAACCCACAATCTCTCTGACATATGCCTATATTTCTTTGGGGAAGTACAGGAAGAAGTTAGGCATGGCCATGTGACTTGTTTTGGCTAATGAAATGTGAGCAGAAGCAAAGTGTTTCACTTCCACTTTAAGAACCAGTAGGTGATTCACCAAGTTCCCTTTCTGCTACCATGGCAACAGGCAACATACTAGATAATAGAAGTTCCACCAGCTGAGGACTACGAGGAGACTGAGGACGATGTGGAGCAGAGCCCCAGCTGACTCATAAAGGACATGTAGCAAGAGTAAAAAATACACCTTCACGGTTGTAAGCCACTGAGACTTGGGGGTTGTTTGTTGCTACACCATCACCTAGCCTGTCCCCACCAGGTGAGCCTGAGCCACACCTCCATTCCCACGACACACCTCTGTGCATGAAGACTTCAGAGGGTACACAATGCAGGAAATCAGAATTCAGCTCCATAAAACATTCCAGATTCCACATATCACCAACATTCTTTCTTCCTCTTGGCTTATATTAGGGATAGGGGATGTGGTTTATTACAAAGGATGAGTATTTTAATAGCTTCTTATTCCTTGAGCTATTCCGCAGGTAAGTTCCTGGTGGAAATTCCTCTATTCTTAGGGTTAAAAACAGAATGAATGAGATAATTTTAATAAGCTCAGTGCATTATGACCTCAAATGCATCATCCTGTACTTACACACACATACATGTGCAAAGACCTTTGGTTTCCTTGGAGGCTTTCTAGCTAGATAAGTCTCAGCACTTCACACGTTTCCTAACGTTATGAGCATCAACATTATAACAAGCTGATGCTTAAAAAACATCACATCATCAGATATTTCATATAAATAGTTACAAAATTAATGGAAGCTCCTCACAGAGTAGTAAGAGAGCCTCTGTGACCTTGGGTAAGTCACTTAGCCTCTCTGGGCCTCAGTTTCCTTGTCTATAAATGAGGATAGTAGTAGTCCCTGCCTCCCAGGGTTCGTGTGAGAATGAAGTTGGGTCATGCACATCATGTCTGGTTCATAGTAAGTACATAATGTTAACTATATCTGAGCCATAGAGTACATAGAAATCCAAAAAGTAAACTCGATTTAGACTTTTTGCTTTCCAAGAAGGGTGAATTCAGAAACCGTTTGGTTCACCAAGTAGTGGTTTTCTGGAAAAGATGTAAAACCATGGTCCTACCATCTGGAGGTTTTAACACACTTTTGAAAACACAAACAGATGGGTAGGCAAGTGGGTATTGCTAACAGTTCGAGAAAATTTTCCAAGCCTCTTGCTGAGGGCCTAGATCCAGCTGGGAAAATCTTTAAAGGGCAGGCTCATTTATACTTTTTCCGTCTTAAATACTTGGACTTTTTCAGGTTTATAACAAAGCTCAGAAAATACTAAAGGTTAAAGGAGAACTGAGAGCTGCCAAGGAAATGAAAGATGAGGTAAGGCTCCTAACTCCTCTTCATACGTGGAGTTGAATATTCATTACAAGGGACTTTTTTTCATGTTTTATTATTCAAAATTCCAGTAATAAGCATCACAAAATATCATGGACAGAGGTGGGCAGCAGAGCATTGTGTTTAAGAGCCCAGACTCGAGCTGGGTGGGTCTGGGTCCATATCTATCAGCAGTATGATACTGAGTTTTTTGCCTACTTTAAGTTTCCTTTGCTTTATCTAGAAAATATGAATGATGATCACCTATTCCAAAGACTTGGTATGAGGATTAGCAAAGTTAGTGCATGTAGAAAGCACTTAATTGATATTAACTATTGTTGCTAACATTCTGTCTTTATCTGGAATGATATGAAAATGGAGTGTCTGATTAGTTTAATCTTTTGGTCAAACTGTGTTTATGGGGTCAGGCGCAGTGACTCAAACCTGTAATCCCAGCACTTTGGGAAGCCAAGGCAGGAGGATCGCTTGAGCCCCAGAGTTTAAGACCAGCCTGGGCAACACGGTAAGACCCCTGTCTCTACAAAAAAAAAAAGATTAGCCAGGTGTGGTGGCATGCCCTTTTGGTCCCAGCCACTCAGGAGGCTGAGGCAAGTGGATCACTTGAGCCTGGGAGGTTGAAGCTGCAGTGAGCCGTGATCACACCAGTGCATTCCAGCTGGGGCGACAAAGACCCTGTCTCAAAAACAACAACAACAGCAACAAACTATGTTTATGTATGCCCTACCTTGTTTCAGAAAGGACTTAAGGGGACTGTTTTGATGAGTAAAGGATTGTCCCACGTACCATATGCTTTTTAACAGACCTCCTACCAAGAGGTGAGCAGATTCTGAAACAGGCAGTCCACTCCTTTCCTGCCGCATTACTGGAGCCATACAGAACTTGATACCAGTTCTGTGGGGAACAAGGATCTGTATGGATTTTCTAGAAGGCTGTTTCTTCATTTAACTTATATCTTTGGATCTCCTTCAATGTGCCAGGCATTCATTGTTCTAGGAGCTGGGAATAAAGCAGTGAACAAAATAGACAAAGATCCCTACTCTCATGGAGCTTACCTTCTTGGTAGAATAATTTCTCAAATGATATGATAGTGAAAAGTCTGTGAAAATTGCCCGGGTGCCGATAAAAATCAGCCCACGTTCCATAGGTGGCTGATCTCCACCATATGTCATGTGTATCCTACACTGTATACTTATGGGGTGTGCCAATTTTGTTTTTATGGCAAACACTAATCTAGCCTTCCATGATATGTGTCAGACAGTGTTCTAAGTACATTGTATTTACCAATGCATTTAATCATCACAACAACCTTAAGGAAACTATAATTATCTCTATTTTATACATAGGGAAATGTAGCCACAGAAGTTAAATAACTTGTTAATGAATACACAGCTGATAAGGGAATCTCTCAGATATCTTTTTTAATTTGTTAATCTAAGTGTGTGTGTGTGTGTGTGTGTGTGTGTTTAGCCTTCTTACATTTCATAATGTTTTCTTTTTTTAATCTTTTTTATTATACTTTAAGTTCTGGGATACATGTGCAGAATGTGCAGATTTGTTACATAGGTATACACCAATTTTTAAAGAATTTAGAACACCATAAAATACGGTCACTCTTCAGTATATGAACATAATTGGTTCTAAATGTTTGTTCACAGGCAAAACCTTGTATAAGTACCCATTCATTTCCATCATAAGTAATGCAAAAACTGTAATATTTCTATAAATGGAAAAGTCAACTGGTAATCAAGTCTGTAATATCAGTAATAGTGTTTAAAATTACTGCAGATAACTGTAAACTCTACTATTATACAAGTAAAATGTAAAAATTCCTGAATCAATGTTATTTTTTAAGGTTTCGTGATTCTTAAGGCATGACTCTCACCATAAATTGAATGGTTGTGATATTAGTGGTGGTTAAAAGTGGTTTCCCATTGATTATTGAAGATTTGTCCTTATCCTCAGACAAATAAGATAATATCCCAAAGATGATGACCTTTATCGTGTTATTGGTTGAATCCTAAATTACTGTGGATTTTCATGTTGAAATGCCAAATCCCTGGGAATGCTGCCATTTTGAATCTTTGCAATGCTCTTGGCCTCTGAAAATGCTACTGAATCACGAGCTTCAATTTAACATTAGCTTCACCCAAGAAAAAGCTTGAGACTGTCAATACTTGGAAACCTAGAGCAAAATGTCTTCACCTGTTTTGAAATATGTGTTTGAGATACCATGCTTTTTGACAAAAGACCTATTTAATCAATACAGAAAATTTGCTTCAGTAAATAACCTATTTTCCAATAGTTATCATGAATATGGTAGCCACTGCAGTATCAGCACTCATCATTTTGCCTGTGGGTTGATAGCTGCTGCTGCTATCATATGTTTCAAAGCAGAGTGACCAGGTTCCAACCTTATATAAGAGAAACCAGGTAACTAAGTACATGACTTATGTAAATGAAAACTCACCTGGCAGCGGAGACTGGCAGTGGAGACTTGTGATTTCAGCCATTGTTAATGACTTCAGATCCAGGACAGGATCAGATGGTGCCTGAGGGTCAACATTATGACTCTCGGTTCATCTCATGCCCCAGTAATGGTTACAGAGCTATGATTGATGAAATGTCAGATTAAATCTATCCCTATTGCATGTTGATACTCAAAAGGCATCTGCCTGGGATTTAGCCTTCATAAAGTAGATAGGATTATAAATAGTTTACAGCTAATATCTGTGTGAGATACTAGCAAGAAATTAGGTTCACTGAGACCCAAGAAACATTGGCTTTTCTGGGGTTCTGAGGTGAACACAGCCTTTTCTAATAGCTCCCTGTAATTAAAAATTGAACATGGTTCTGGAAATCACCTGATCACTCTCCCAGCATTTTTACTCCTTTTCTGATGCATCAAAATCTCTTTATAATTTGGTTTCCAGGAGTGAATGGTTAAGTTTTGTTTTCGAAAGTAAATTTCACTTGACATCCATCAAAACATATTTGTTATTCAACTGGTTTAAGGAATGTTCAAAGAAAGATGATTTATTCCAAACCTTGTTTCATGAATGAAGACATTTTCTCAGAGACTCTGAGCCAATGCTAAATGTACAAATTAGATGAGATCATCTACATTGAAGATCCAATTCTGAACTTCTGGTGGTGCAAAAGAATTGGGCTATCAGGCCTTCTACTCAGAGGACATCCAAAACTGGAGGGAGAAAGGATATTTTTATTGGCCTGAGAGAGAGCACTTAACTTTTAATTTAGAGAAACTCAAGTGTGTATCATTGGTATTTTGTTAGTGAGCCTTCAGTGTGCTAGTCTCCATGGGGAACAGTATGCTGTCAGGGTTCCTGCCTTAAGACACATATATTCAACACCAAGGCAAGAATATAGGGTATTTGGCTCTCCTGTGGAGCAGGCATCTTGTTGTCACCTAAACTGCTCATAGATGCCAAAGAAAGACAGTCCTGTGGCCAGAGTGAAGAGGTTCCTTAGGGTCCCACTTCCTGGAGAGGCTCCATACTCTATTCCCAGTGTGGTAACCACAGGAAAGGGATCCAAAGCACCAGAATCAAACTACCACTCTTTATCGAGTTAAGCATTTTGTTTCCAAGTTAGAAAACAGTGTCTGTACACCATTTTTTAAGGCCACTCTACACATATTCTCTTAAGAGAGTCCCTGGTAATTGTCTTAATGGTAATTACATGCTTGGGGCAGTTGACATCCACTGTTATTTTTCTGGAAGTGAGGAACGAAAGATGGGAGCAAGAGAGGAGGAGGGAGAGTTTTGAGATAATGAAATCCTTTTAATGACAGAGCCATGCCGTTAACCTAATTAAACTGTAAAGTGGTTAAAAAAAAATCCAGGTACTAAATGGAAATGAAGAAATAAATCAACGGAGACAGCAGCAGTTCTGGGAAACCTTCTGAATTCCGAATACTCTGACATTGCAATGTCCGATTCTCGCCGTTGTCCTCCGGCCCCCCTCGGCTTTGTGTAGGGGTCCTTTAAACTGACCTGTCCAGTAAGGCTTGATTTACGATGCCCATATCAGGTCTCCAGTTCCTCTGGGAATGTGTGTTATGCAGCTCATATATTTCAAAAGACAAACCAGTCAGTCGGATATGATGGCAGAGCACCAGCTACAGGGTCAGGAAGAACGTGCTCTCCTGGCCCTACTGCTAACCAGATGTGAGACCTTGGGCACTGTGGCTTAGTTCCCTTCACTATTTCCATGCACCTATCCCCTGCCTACTGCGCACTTTTGCAGCTGTAACTCTCTTAGAAGAATTGTCTTGAGACTACTGAAGTCACTGCCTACAGGGGCAGAGAGCTGGAAGTTCTTAGTTGCTTGTAACCCATGGGATGGCCATTGGCCATTGACTGACTGATGCTGAGTTTGACAGCCCAGCTTTCACTGACACCAATCGGGACAGACTCTAAGGTGTAGCTCATATTCCAGAGTTTCCTGTATGAGCAGGCTAAAATTACTGCCCACAGGATTCTCTGAAAATGTACCTGTACTTGGTTTTTACCCCTTCCCTATCCTGCTTCCCCTTCTTCCATGCTGGTTTTTCTTGGGAGTGTTTCTTTAATAGATGCCATGAATCCTCACTTAAGAACCCTCTCGGTAATCTAACCTAAGAGATAGGTACTGTATTAGTCCATTTGCACACTGCTATAAAGAACTACTGGAAGCTGAGTAATTTATCAGGAAAAGAGGTTTAACTGATTCACAGTTCCACATAGCTGGGGAGGCCTCAGGAAACTTACAATCATAGCGGAAGGCAAAAGGGAAGCAAGGCACATCTTACATGGCAGCAGGAGAGAGACAGTGAGGGGAAGCGCCACACTTTTAAACTATCACATCTTGTAAGAACTCACTCACTATTATAAGAACAGCATGGGAGAAACCACCCCCATGACCCAATCACCTCCCACCAGGTCGCTCCCTCAACACGTGAGGATTACAGTTTGAGATGAGATGTGGGTGGGGACACAGAGCCAAACCATGTACTTACCATGAAGGAACCAGCCTCAGTTCCTAGATTTAAAACTCAGCAGCAGTAACACGTGTGCTCGTGAGCGTTGTAGAAAACCAGCACAGTGACAGACTGAAGCACTACACAGGTTCACACAGGACTTCTTCCTCATTCCTTTTCACACCGTTACCACCCACAACTCTGGGAGTGGAGGTGGCATCCTGGTGTGATAAAGCCCCACCCTCCTACAACAGCTCTGCACCCGCACCCCCACCCAAGTTACTATGCCCCACACACTCTATTTATATCTCAATCACTACTTTCCATCCCCATCTAGCAACAATTAGCTAATTCTTTTCACTCATAATCAAAGACAGAACTTACGCCACCAGCCCAGGGATCTCACTTTGTTCCCATTGTGAATGCCTCTAAAGAAAAGCACTTTTTGGAGGCCAAGGTGGGCAGATCACGAGGTCAGGAGATCGTGACCATCCTGGCTAACACGGTGAAACCCCATCTCTACTGAAAATATTTAAAAAATTAGCCGGGAGTGGTGGCAGGTGCCTATAGTCCCAGATACTCGGGAGGCTGAGGCAGGAGAATGGCGTGAACCTGGGAGGCAGAGCTTGCAGTGAGCAAAGATTGTGCCACTGCACTCCAGCCTGGGTGACAAAGCGAGACTCCGTCTCAAAAAAAAAAAAAAGAAAAGCACTGGGTTTATAGGTGAAGGAGATCTTTTGGTAGTCTAGTGGGTAGAAGAGAAAGGTAAGAGACTTCAGAATCCCGTATCAAGCCCATCATGGATTCACTATACTTGTCTTGACAAGTTCATTTGACATCTCAATATGTTCATCAGTGGCAGAGCCATTAATATTTATAGACAGTCCACTAGGTGCCTAGAATTATTCTAGGCACTGACTTCCTCTTGAAAAACAGGGGAATTGTCTGTGGTGCACCCTCAGCAGTGTGGTGAAGATTAATTAATATAAATCAGTAATTGTCTGAATAATGCAGAGCGCTCAGACACCTGGCAATTGGAAACTGTGTAAACGTTACACAGGATGAGTAATAACAGCTAACGGTTGATGGACAAATTTCCAGCAAATTTCAAGTCTCTGTCAACCTGTTAAGTGAACGAAAGCAAGCACTTTCTTGATAGCTTATAATTGATGCTTTTGTTTTTCTGGCTGCCTAGGCGGGGGAGAGAGACAGAGAAGTGAGCAGCCTGAACAGCAAGCTGTTAAGCCTGCAAGTTGACATCAAGAATCTGCACGATGTCTGCAAGAGACAGAGGAAGACCTTGCAGGACAATCAGCTCTGCATGGAGGAGGCAATGAACAGCAGCCACGTAAGGGACTTGGCAGCGGCCGCTCACCCCTGCTCCCTCAACTTCTGCCTCTCTTCCCTTGGGCGGGGATAATAGAAAGTTCTTCCACTGTTCATTCAAGAGTACTTATTGAGCAAGCAATGAGAGAGAATTAAGAGAATTAAACACGCACACCCCAACACACATACACACGGAAAATGCCATTCCTGCATTTTTCCATCTATCTCCAAGGTCATGTACATCCTAGGCACAATGTTTTCCTTATTGGGCCTTTCACACCTGTATTTACAACCCGTTGCCCTGAAAATATCAGATCATAGTGATACATGGGGAGCAGCATCTGCTATGAATCTCAGACAAACTTCTAAGTCAACCATGAAAATAAAAACCATCGCACCTGCTCCAAGGTATCAGTGTGCATCGGGGTAGCAGGGGATCTTTATTGCTGCACCTGTGTCTTACTGCCTGTAAGCTTTTCTTCTGGATGCAGGAACCTGATAATAGGACAAGCTCAGTTTCTCAAGAGTTAATGCCTCTGGAAGCAACCTTCAAGCAATGTCAGATGAGGAGGTGGTAGATTCCATCTCCCACCTTCCTTTCTCCCTCGTCAGAGGTAACCCGAGGCATGCTGTCTCACAGACTTCCTCAATGCACCTGAGCCCAGTTGCTCACAGTGGTACCTGATTTGATGACACACCTTTTTTTTTTTTTAACCCAATGTTGTTGTTGTTGTTGTTGTTACATGAGTAAGTTCTTTAGCGGTGATTTGTGAGATTTTGGTGCACCCATCACCCAAGCAGTATACACTGAATCCAATTTGTAGTCTTTTATCCCTCACCACCCCCAACCTTTCCCCAGAGTCCCCAAAGTTCATTGTTTCACTCTTATGCTTTTGCATCCTCATAGCTTAGCTCCCACTTATAAGTGAGAACATATGATGTTTGGTTTCCCATTCCTGAGTTACTTCACTTAGAATAATAGTCTCCAATTCCATCCAGGTCGCTGCAAATGCCATTAATTCATTCCTTTTTATGGCTGAGTCGTATTCCATTGTATATATATACCACATGCAAAAATATGGAACCAGCCAAGTGCCCATCAATCAATGAGTGGACACACCTTTTATCTGCTTCCTTCCCTTCCTTCAGTCTCCCACTCCCCAGCCAGAGTTTACTAAGACCACCTCCCACATCAACTACTACTTGACCCTCAGTTCCTTGTCACAGAGCCTGCTTTCAGGGGTGCCCAAGCCAAGACACTCAGTAGCGCTGATCCTACGCATGTGTGACCATGCAGACCTCCTGGCATGAGCATCTTTCTTGAGACTGTGATTTTGGACTAATACTTATCTAGAGTCTAGGCTGTTCATCAGCTGAGGTAATTTCATTTCAGCCTGAGGTTTGCTTTCTTTGGAAGCTCTAAATCTAAGGTCTTTAAGTCAGTCTCTAAATTTATCCACACAAGCTGGGGAGCCAGCTGGGAGATATTTTCCCACAGCTCTCTAAACACTGGGTTTCCAAGAATTCTTTACTTGTGGTCTTCATTTCCATTTAGTGACTTGAGTTCTTGGTAAACAGAAAGCAGGTCCTGGCTGCACAGACCTGTTGCTGGACACCCAAAGTTAGCCTCTGGGCGGCTGTGAAGCCGCCACCGTGTTCTTCACTGTTGGTGGTCAAGGATCTGGCCTCTTTTCATTGCGTCTGTAAGAGTTCTCCCAGGACTTACCGCCTCACTATTGAAACCACAAACTGTTCCTCTGCAATGCCCTAGAAATACTACCAACAAAGCATTTCTACTTCATCTTCTAAGCATTGCTTTCCTCAGGAAGTCACAAATAGAGTAAAATCCACTGGTTTCCTAAATGGATCTCAGGAAGAAGATTATCATAATTTACTTCTTTCTAAATATTAACATTTTAGGATATTTTCACCATTGCTGTCATGAGTTTACTTATTCCCCCAGTCAGGAAAAGCCATGTGGCTTATAAATGTACCTGGCAACTTGGAAGGAGAAAGGTATTAAATTGCATTTTATTATTCTAATTGCCCAGAAGAAGGTCTAACAGCTTGAAACAAGCTTTAAAGCGGGCTCTTTTTTCCCCTAGCACTTAGTGCAGAATTTAAATAGCAGACTACGCATACAAATACACAATTAGATGTAGACTTACACTCATCCGCCCAGAAAATCCCTTTAAGATCTGCCTTCCACATGGAAATGTAATATGGGAACAAAAGGGAAACCAGGACTTTCTGAAATTCTGACTACCCTCTAACAAGGAGCTGGGGAAATAAGCAGGAGGTCAGAGTTTATGACCACAATTATGCAAAAAGATTAAAATATTACATTAGATGTTATGTATAACAAAAGGAGTGGCAGGGAAGGGGTGAGTGATATGACCTTGCAAATCAAAACTACGTTATGCTCCCAATCCCAGGAACAGAGCAGGAAATAGGGCGAAGCAAATGGGATGGCTAAGGTGCAAAATTCTTGGGCACAAGTTCTTCAGGTGCCAACCTGCATGTGCTCCACCCTGAGACTGAGTGCCTCCTTAAAATTTGCAACTCACTTGCCTCACCGTAGTCCTGGGCCTGCCCAGGAATCAAAAGAGAATCTCAATTAAAGTGAAAGGAGAAAAGAACAACAGAGATATCATAATAAAATTATCAAACCAGAAAAGAAAGGGCCTTTTGAGCAATTTCCCAGGCTCCATTCTCCGATGGTGGCATAGGGTGCATGCCCTGATATTCAGTAGAGCTCAGATTGCCAAACTCGTCTTTGAAGTGTACAGAGGACACTATTTTTAGCATAAAACTATATAAGGCGAGTTTGATTCCTGCGGATAAAAGTAATTTGTTGAAGATGTAAAGTTAGTAGAATCTTGATGGGCATTATTACACAGTATCATTTTGAATCATTGGGAATGGAAAAAAAATATTTCACTGAATCTTCTAAATGCAATGTGAAATCCTGGATTGGATATTGGAACAGAGAAAACACATTAGTGGAAAAACTGGTGAAATCCAATAAAGTATAGTTCACAGTAATCTTCCAACATTAATTTCTTAGTTTAGACAAATGTACCCAGTTATTTAAGAAGTTTGCCTTAGGGAAAACTGTATGAAGAACATATGGGAACTCTCTGGGCTACTTTTGCAATTTTTCTGTAAATCAAAAATTATTCTAAAATACTGTTTTTCAAGTGAATCTCAGGCAAGCAGAAGTCACTAGTGAGAAGAATGTCTACATCAGAAAGATGCATCTAAAATTCATGTCACTTAAACATACAGTTCTCTGCTCTACTAGTACAAGGAAGTACAAGAAATGCAATTTGTAGAAGACATAAAAAGTAACAGATAAGTCCGGGCACGGTGGCTCACGCCTGTAATCCCAGCACTTTGGGAGGCTGAGGCGGGTGGATCACCTGAGGTCAGGAGTTCGAGACCAGCCTGGCCAACATGGCGAAACCCCATCTCTACTAAAAATGCAAAACTTAGCCAGGAATGGTAGCAGGCGCCTATAGTCCCAGCCACTTGGGAGGCTGAGGCAGGAGAATTGCTTGAATCCGGGGCACAGAGGTTGCAGTGAGCTGAGAGCATGCCACTTCACTCCAGCCTCAGCAACAGAGTGAGACTCCATCTCAAAAAAAAAAAAAAAGCAGATAAACCTATCCAGTGATATAAGGCTAAACTAGAGTTCAAAGGAAATATCTCACTTACCTCAAAGTTAGGAAAAGAAGTTCATGACAATGACTGAAAAAGTAAGTTAGTCCTCATCTGTGCTAATGGTTGCTGCTGCTACCTCGTGAACAAGGAGAAACTGATTCAAAAGCCAAATAATTCCTCATGCAATTCAGCTGAAAGTTTGCAGACTTCCTATATTGTTCTATGGACCTCAACACCAAGAATACCTATCACAAATTTAATAGATCATGCTGTATCAAAAGGTCAAATATGAAGCACTTAGAATTTTTCAGCTATACAAATGTATTCTCTGGTTCTGCTGTGGCCCAGACAGTGTTAACTTCTTTTTTCTATTGTGGATTTTAGTCCCCTCCCCAGGAAATTAATTCAGTTTGATGTGCAAGTCTTAAGTTTCTCAATAAAGAAAAAAATCTCCATTAAAAAAAGATAGTGAGACTTTTTGGTTCTTAAATGAAAAAAAAAATCATTAGGGATTCGGTTATCAGAACAATGCCAACCTAGTCAGCGCAAACTAGAACAGGGAACAAAATGGTTAAAAAGTATTTTGAAAAGCCAGCTTTAGGCAAATCAGCAGGGCCTGATGACATACTTCGAAGAGTACTTAAGGAATTGGCAGGTGTTATTACATAGCTGCTAGTGATTATTTTTGAGAACTCAAAAGGATAAAGAAAGTCCCTGTAGACTGAAAAAGGGTAAATGAAGTGCTCATCTTTTTAAAAAGGGAAAAAGGACAATCCTGGTAATTATAGACCTGTCAGCTTAACTTCAGTACAAGGAAAATACAGAACTTAACATCAATCAATTAGCATCAACTTGAAAAGCACAAAGTATTGGGTGGAAACCAACGTGACTTTTCAAAAGGCAAATCATGCCAGGCCAATTAATTTCCTTCTGTGATCAAGTGGCCACATAGGCAAGGAAGGAGCAATAGCTATAATCTCTTTGACCACAAGTAGGGCTGAAAGGTTGACTAAATATGGGAACAGGTTCCTATGGACAACCAGCAGTCCCCATCTTTTCAAGCAGCTGAGACCTGGATAGAAATCCAGCTGAGAAACCTGGTAGACCAGATGGCCTCCAGGATCGCATCTCATTCCAGATGGTCATTTTAAGAACTAGTCTCACCTCTGTAAGAACTAGTCTTTCAACATGCTTATTTTCTTCAGATCTCAGTTTAAAAGTCAAAGAAGACTCTAATAAAATATCTGCATCTTCATTAGAAAGAATGTTAAAAAAAAAAAAAAAGACAAAGAAGCAATAGGAAATAAGTTGGTGCCTTTGTGGTACTGCTCTTCAGCACATTTGTAAGTGAAGTGCAGG